GTATTAAGGTCTGGTGCTTACTATTAGGGAGAACCTGCCTGGAGCTAGCTTGGCAGCACAGAAGCAGCAGTTTTAGTAAGAACTTTAGAAAGGGAAATGCCAGCTGGTGAAGTAGTTTTTAGTATTAAGGTCTGGTGCTTACTATTAGGGAGAACCTGCCTGGAGCTAGCTTGGCAGCACAGAAGCAGCAGTTTTAGTAAGGACTTTAGAAGGGAAATGGAAGGAGGTGAAATAGTTTTTAGTATTAAGGTCTGGTGCTTACTATTAGGGAGAACCTGCCTGGAGCTAGCTTGGCAGCACAGAAGCAGCAGTTTTAGTAAGGACTTTAGAAAGGGAAATGCCAGCTGGTGAAGTAGTTTTTAGTATTAAGGTCTGGTGCTTAGTATTAGGGAGAACCTGCCTGGAGCTAGCCTGGCAGCACAGAAGCAGCAGTTTTAGTAAGGACTTTAGAAAGGGAAATGGAAGGAGGTGAAGTAGTTTTTAGTATTAAGGTCTGGTGCTTACTATTAGGGAGAACCTGCCTGGAGCTAGCCTGGCAGCACAGAAGCAGCTGTTTTAATTAGTAAGGACTTTAGAAAGGGAAATGGAAGGAGGTGAGGTAGTTTTTAATATTAAGGTCTGGTGCTTACTATTAGGGAGAACCTGCCTGGAGCTAGCCTGGCAGCACGGAAGCAGCAGTTTTAGAAAGGACTTTAGAAAGGGAAATGGAAGGAGGTGAAGTAGTTTTTAGTATTAAGGTCTGGTGCTTAGTATTAGGGAGAACCTGCCTGGAGCTAGCTTGGCAGCACAGAAGCAGCAGTTTTAGTAAGAACTTTAGAAAGGGAAATGCCAGCTGGTGAAGTAGTTTTTAGTATTAAGGTCTGGTGCTTAGTATTAGGGAGAACCTGCCTGGAGCTAGCCTGGCAGCACAGAAGCAGCAGTTTTAGTAAGGACTTTAGAAAGGGAAATGGAAGGAGGTGAAGTAGTTTTTAGTATTAAGGTCTGGTGCTTAGTATTAGGGAAAACCTGCCTGGAGCTAGCCTGGCAGCACAGAAGCAGAAGTTTTAGTAAAGTCTTTAGAAAGGGAAATGGAAGGAGGTGAAGTAATTAGTTTTTAGTATTAAGGTCTGGTGCTTAGTATTAGGGAGAACCTGCCTGGAGCTAGCCTGGCAGCACAGAAGCAGCAGTTTTAGTAAGGAGTTTAGAAAGGGAAATGGAAGGAGGTGAAGTAGTTTTTAGTATTAAGGTCTGGTGCTTAGTATTAGGGAGAACCTGCCTGGAGCTAGCCTGGCAGCACAGAAGCAGCAGTTTTAGTAAGGACTTTAGAAAGGGAAATGGAAGGGGGGGAAGTAGTTTTTAGTATTAAGGTCTGGTGCTTAGTATTAGGGAGAACCTGCCTGGAGCTAGCCTGGCAGCACAGAAGCAGCAGTTTTAGTAAGGACTTTAGAAAGGGAAATGCCAGCTGGTGAAGTAGTTTTTAGTATTAAGGTCTGGTGCTTACTATTAGGGAGAACCTGCCTGGAGCTAGCTTGGCAGCACAGAAGCAGCAGTTTGAGAAAGGACTTTAGAAAGGGAAATGCCAGCTGGTGAAGTAGTTTTTAGTATTAAGGTCTGGTGCTTACTATTAGGGAGAACCTGCCTGGAGCTAGCTTGGCAGCACAGAAGCAGCAGTTTTAGTAAGGACTTTAGAAAGGGAAATGCCAGCTGGTGAAGTAGTTTTTAGTATTAAGGTCTGGTGCTTACTATTAGGGAGAACCTGCCTGGAGCTAGCTTGGCAGCACAGAAGCAGCAGTTTTAGTAAGGACTTTAGAAAGGGAAATGCCAGCTGGTGAAGTAGTTTTTAGTATTAAGGTCTGGTGCTTACTATTAGGGAGAACCTGCCTGGAGCTAGCTTGGCAGCACAGAAGCAGCAGTTTTAGTAAGGACTTTAGAAAGGGAAATGGAAGGAGGTGAAGTAGTTTTTAGTATTAAGGTCTGGTGCTTACTATTAGGGAGAACCTGCCTGGAGCTAGCTTGGCAGCACAGAAGCAGCAGTTTTAGTAAGGACTTTAGAAAGGGAAATGGAAGGAGGTGAAGTAGTTTTTAGTATTAAGGTCTGGTGCTTAGTATTAGGGAGAACCTGCCTGGAGCTAGCCTGGCAGCACAGAAGCAGCAGTTTTAGTAAGGACTTTAGAAAGGGAAATGCCAGCTGGTGAAGTAGTTTTTAGTATTAAGGCCTGGTGCTTACTATTAGGGAGAACCTGCCTGGAGCTAGCTTGGCAGCACAGAAGCAGCAGTTTTAGTAAGGACTTTAGAAAGGGAAATGCCAGCTGGTGAAGTAGTTTTTAGTATTAAGGTCTGGTGCTTACTATTAGGGAGAACCTGCCTGGAGCTAGCTTGGCAGCACAGAAGCAGCAGTTTTAGTAAGGACTTTAGAAAGGGAAATGCCAGCTGGTGAATTAATTTTTAGTAATAAGGTTTGGTGCTTACCATTTTGTGCTTCACCATAGTCTCTTCTTCCCTTCCTTCTCCCTTGCTCAGCCAAGCTGCTGCCTGTACTGCCAAAGCCGCGACTGCCTGGACTGCCTCTGCTGGCTGCACGAACTCTGTCTGGTCTGCCATGGCTTCGCTGCTGGTCTGCCTGACGGTACGAGGGTCTGCCTGTCTGCCTTTTGATCCCTTGAGGCAACGGCGTTTGGATTTCTCTGACCCTGACCCGCTGGAATATGATTTTGGCTGTCTGCCTAATGAAACCCTTGCTATGAATACATACAGCGTATATAAACGTGTGTAATTACATGATTGCTAATTACATGAAACCCTCATGATTACTACATATACACATATAATTGATTGTATATCTATTTACTTATTTGTAGCCATCATGAAGCCCTCATGAACAATTACTACATATACACGAATGAATTGATTATACATATGCATCTAATTAATTAATTAGAATTACTTAGAAATCTTTATAAAATGAATAATCCCTTCCTCCATTCTAATGCATGAATAATTAATTAACATGACTTCGATTTGGTTCCCTAATCATAAATACCCCCCTAATACTAAAAACTACCTGCCGTGTTTTGTATTAGGGGGGGGGGGTTTAGTATTAGGAGGAAGGGATTATTGGATCTAGTCATTGGATGCGTTTTTATATGGTTTTTGGGGGATGAAAATGATGAAACATATCTCTTATGAAACAGTCTCCTGTCCATTTCTCTTGGAGCACTCCGCCAACTTCTGTCCGACCTCTAGGGCATAAATAAAAAGTACATTCCTTATCATTCCTTCACCATCTGCCTTCTATTCAGGATATGCAGACTATGTAGCAATTTAAAATATGTTACATCCCATTTTGAGGTTTCTCATTGCATCAAGGGCCGCATCCAGTCTCCAAATCGGCGAAATCGATTTTTTTTGCCCAAGCCTGCCACTCATTGTGCCACGCTGTCCGGGAGTCACTGAGGTGGTGAGCCAATTTTGTGAAGCTTTGTATTTCCAAGAAGCCAGCATGAAGAAATGATGTGCCACATTTATTGGTGCTTAGTTGGTGCACCTGGAGAATCGTGGAGGCTGAAAACCCATCTTTGGATCATTTGAGAAGTTCTAGTTGCACTGCCGAAGGATTTATGGCTTGTGAACGAAGCACCAATGGCACTTAAAGTCGACGTAGCAACTTTCGCAACTTTTTAAGTGCGCAGATCGCCATTGATCGGCCACCGGGCCGACGCAAACGATGGTTTGAGAAGAGGTCACTGCCTGAGGCTTCATAGGAAGCCCATGTTGGGTCTAGCGGTTCACCATCTCCCGCTTGCGCTGAATGGAAAGGGGAAGCATCACTGGGAATCAAATGGAATAAGTATGGGGCCGGATATCCTATGATGTTCTATGATGTCCTATAAATAAAGGTAGATTAAGTCACATCATACAGCCAACAGACCTTGCAAGCACCGTAAAGTGTGACGGGTGCCTGATATTTTTCAGGCTGAGCCTTCGCTTCTGGTTTTTTTTTGGGTTCAGATCGACGGACTCCGAAGAGAATTTGAGGGATTTTGGGGGATTTCATGTACCCTCTGGTAAACGTTTACACAACTATGGAAAATCACCATGTTCAATGGGAAAATCCACTATAAATGGTCATTTTCAATAGCTATTTTGACATAACCAGAGGGTAAAATCATGTAAATGACACGATTCTAATTGGAGATGAAAGATGATGAAAGATCCACATAAACATGATTTTAAACATGTGTAGGGACCGACATTCCTGAAACTTAACTGCAGTTTCCATCCGCCTGGGAGAGGATTTGAGCGAGACTCCCTTAGCCAGCGTCGAAAAAAACCCTCCGTTGGTTCATGATTTTAGGGAGCTTTGCTAGCCAATATATGGGGGGTTGCCATTGTTGCCATAATCCATTATGGCAATCCCCATTAACCAACAAGTATAATGGAATATATGGAATATATGGAATGATGGAGAGTCTTGAACATTACTGTAAAAACACACTCACCACAAACACGTTTTTTCAATGCATAGTACATACAGCTCAGGCCTTAAAATCCTAAAATGCCATGAGAAGTTCTTGTACTTTTTTTCCATCCTCGCCCTTCAGCCATTGACATCGTCATGAAACTCTTGTCTCCAAACGCTGCCACATCTGCCACTATCCAATATGATCCCTTCCCCTCATTTTTAAGTAGCCCGCAAACGAAATCATGGTTTAACATGGTTTAACTATTGGATCTGTTCGAATCTCTTCATTTTTACTGTTCCTTATTTGCGGCATTTCATTGCACAATGGGGATTCAACCCACAACCCACCCAAGGTAACCCCCCCCAACGGAACGGGTTTATTGAGGGCCTACTAGCCACCAACAGCACCAACAGCCACATTGATAAGGGCAGATCTTAACATTCTTGACCGGCTACTCAAGGTCACCGAAAAAAAAAGGCATCGGGGGTTGGTCATGTCCCACTGAGCCCACTGAATCTGATAGGGGGATGGGATAGGAAATGATGGGATAGGTTCACCATGGATCAACAGCACAGAAGGGCGCCCCAGGTCGTGGTTTTCACGGCCTCCGCGGCCATCTACGCTGACAAGGTGCTGGATTGGCTGGACCCAGGAGCATCCCCGTGATCTGTCGGATGCTTTCTCTCGTAGCTAGTCAGCTAGTGCTACTTTCAAGGTGTTTAAAATTGTGCTAGTTTCCATTAGTTTCCATTAGTTTCCATTCGGTCAGGACGGAGACTCATCTCCTACCGTCTTTATCGTGAGGCATGCGGATGGGATTCTAGAGCAGTCCACGTCTTGGGGCATCGCACGGCATGTCAGTAGGATCAGATCCTTAGGCACTTCAGCAATCTTCACCTGGTGTCCGAACTGACATGGACGTTGGATGCTGTTGGAACCTTTATGAACCTTTCATCTTCCTTGGGCAAAACCGTGTGCCGCGGATCGCTGTGAGGCATGCACAGAGCTTGCAGGTGGCCACTTCAAGGCGAGGGGCGATTAATTTTCCCACAGATGATCCCAACTCAACTGACGATTTTTCCAGAGGAAACGCCAACCATACTAAAGGTTCAGGAGTTAGCCGAAGTCACTAATTTATGGCAAAATATCAAAAGGCTAAGGTAAGTCCATTGTAGCCACCAAATTTGCTGACAACGGTTGACGATCATTGCAGCGCCAATGAATGTCAATGATGGACGCTGCAGAATTGGACGTATCTTCACGCTTCACATTCACATATTTGTCACATGTTTGTCACATATTTGTCACACGTTTTCACCAATTTTCAATCAATCAGTCAAGCAGCCAACATTTCTGAATCCAGGACCTACGACGTCTTGGACGATCGTTGGACGTGTGGATGCCCGTTGAGTGGTGTCGTGTGTCGACCAAACAAGAGTGGGCAAATACATAATATGTATACATATATAGGTTGATAGTGGTTAATATATGTGAATGTAACTAATCAGTTGTACAATTAATTTTATGATGTCATTTTTTTGCCATGTAGGTAAGTATAGGTAAGTCAATTGGATATTGTTGATGTAGTTCATATGTAGTTCATACAGTTGACATGAGTTGACATGCATGCTGATGTAGTAGAAGGATAGGCAACCTAGAGACCTACAGTTATATCATAATAATGTGGTAAACCATGGTAGACCCAATAATGGAGAACCACATATTTGGGATGGTTACCCACAAACGATGGTGATATGGCTTTCCTTCGGCGATGCCAGGATGTGGTTCTGGTGGACAACTCACCGTTGGCCCTGGGCCTGCGCCCGGAGAATGGGATGTTGGTGCCAGTCCTGAGCTTCGGCAATGTCGAATACCTGACTTGAACGAATGGACAAGATGAGACCTTCGATGATGTTGATGGGTGATCACCATGAATAATCACCATGAATCATCACCATGAATCATCACCATGAATCATCACCATGAATCATCACCATGAATCATCACCATATAATGATGTTAAAGTTCATGATCCAAACAGCCCATCATTTGGCCATTCTGAATGGGACTGGTGACCACTAATTTTTTTCTGCCAGATCAGCAGCTGGTACGGGGACGACGATCAGGTCGCAGGGGGATGGCAGCTGGCAGCTGGATCAACCACGACCGTAGTGCCAATGATTAGTGGTGATTAGTGATGATTCATAGTGGTGTTACCCTCTGGTAAACTAACATAGCTATTGAAAATGGCCATTTATAGTGAGTTTTCCCATTAAAAATGGTGATTTCCCATAGTTATGTTAGTTTACCAGAGGGTAAATGGTGATTCACGATGATCAATATTGATGAAAGATGGTTCATAGTGGTGATTATATAATGATTAATAATGGTGATTAATGGTGATTAAGGATGATTTTCATGAGTACTGTAGCCGTGGTCAATCACCACAGCATTCAATCAATGTATATATACCCTTTGGCAATCAAACATGGCTTGCTACCCATAGAAATTCTGGATGAATTGTCCTGACCTCACTGTGACGTCATTGGAATGATGACCAAAAATCGAATAAACTAAATACTTTCACGTTGGTGAATTATTGCAATTCAGCCAGAATCAATGTAGTAATCTAGGCAGATCTAGGTGTATTTAGCATTGGTCTATTGGTGCACATTTACATGCAAAAACCAGCGGCGTGGGGATTCACAGTGTCCAAGCCACATCCTCGCGGTTTCTGGTCAGCTCTGGGGCGTGGCCACTACCACCTCTGCTCAAACCAGGCTGCCAGGATCCATCAAGAACTTCTTGGATGTTTTATGGGGCACGGGTTTGTCACAGCAACTAACCAAGTCAAATAAGAATCGGAAACATGGTAAGAATGACAATAATCATCTATCATATCATATAATCATTGTATAATATAGCTATAATAACAATCCAAATTATAATCATCATATATCACCCATGCCCCCTGGTAAGTCAACATAGCATAGCTATGGACAGTCATCAGTTCAGATCGGTGCCCTGCTACCGGTGGATCATTGTAAATCATATCAATGGGCAATTTTTCCACAGCTACGAAAATGGAGAAAATAGGCTAGACCCCCAATTATAGCCATTTAATAGGGATCATGATCACTAACCATTGGGTTTAGGGGTGCACTATTTTCAGATTGTTCAGACAAACCCCAAAATCAATGCCTTTTTGCAACACTTAGTCAGCTATGGCACGTTTGCATTGGCTGGATGACCTTGGAAAGTTCCTGGAACCCGAGGCTGCAAGTGGATAGCTGAATTGCCCTTTGGTAATTCAACAAAGCTATGGAAGATGGCCATGTTTAGTGGGTAGATAATCTACGATCAGGCTCATGCATTTTCCATCTCTAAATTACCAGAAGGTGGGCAACTTTTATCCCCAACATATGTTCATTTTCCGGGGGAACTCTTGCTTTTGTTCACCACACACTTATCGGAGTTTTGGGGTGGCTCATTTTTGGACACAGCCATGCAAAATCACAGTTTGATGGTACATAAATATCCCGCCGGACCGTAAACCGTTCCCATAAAACGCACATTTTTTTTAAAAAATGGTGATTTTACCACAGTGCCGTGCTAATTTGATGATTGGAAATCCTGGAAAAACTTGGGGCGCGTTTTTTTCGTTTTTCAGCGTCATCGCTGCAACGCATGCGTAGTAAACAGCTGGCAGTCAGCATTCTTGTGAATGCATCTCCATGGCCAAGCTCTCAGAGATCTCAGAGATCTCAGCAGCGTAGCAACATGTATGTAACGTAGTAAACGATCCCAGAGATCTCAGCAGCGTAGCGACATGTAACGTAGTAAACGATCCCAGAGATCTCAGCAGCGTAGCAACATGTAACGTAGTAAACGATCCCAGAGATCTCAGCAGCGTAGCAACATGTAACGTAGTAAACGATACCAGAGATCTCAGCAGCGTAGCAACATGTATGTAACGTAGTAAACGATACCAGAGATCTCAGCAGCGTCGCAACATGTATGTAACGTAGTACACGATCCCAGAGATCTCAGCAGCGTAGCAACATGTATGTAACGTAGTAAACGATCCCAGAGATCTCAGCAGCGTAGCAACATGTAACGTAATAATAAATAATCCCAGAGATCTTAGCAGCATGGCAATATATCATGTACGAAGTACAAGGAACGTTAACATGCCCCCCCACCCCACCCCACCCCAAAATCGCGATATTCAAAAACGTGCGTTTTACGGGAACGGTTTTCGGTCCGCAGGCATAAATATGAATGTTCCAGGTTTATGTAAGTTGGGGTGTTCAGAGGAATCAGGATTTGGTGAGTCGGAGGGATGTGAAAAATTGATTGTTCTGTGTCATCAGACACACACAAAACAGCCGTACATATTCCTTCCATTTTTGATTGCTTAAACCACCATGAAATCTACTAGGTAATGGAGAATGATGCATAAAATGATAGACAATCGGATTTATCGGCAACCCCCGCTTGTTGGGTACCCATGGGTACCCATGGATACCCTTCTTTCTCCAGTGCTTATTCATCACCTGTCCATTTCAGATACGTTTGAGCACTGTTCAAAACCTTTGTTGATGTGGGGTCATACTATCCAATATGTTAGGGATGATTGCCATCCATGGGCTAAGTGACTTAAACCAAAAATCATCAAACCCATCACTCTCCAGTCAGCAGGAAATCCAGTCTAATCAATCACATTTTATCAGTCTAATCAATCACATTTTATCATATCATATCAATGATTAATGATCAACACGTTGGCGAAGTGTCAACCGGAAATTTCACCAGCCAGTTGGATCCAGATCTCCAGGCCTTCATCGATGAGTTGACCCACCAGAGCTTCGCCGTGGTCGCTGCCCCAGCGCGTTTGGCGTCCCCCGTGGCCGCCGTTTTTGCAGCGCCTCAGGGGTTGCTGGGGCACAGCGGTGCCAATGGGCCCTTGGTGTGGAGCTTTAAAAGGCAAGGGGAGTTGAAGGAGTCCTGGGCTGCAACCTTTGTTGGTTGATGATGATATGGGAAAATCCTATCCAATCTTATGATGATCATGATGGGAAATCCCATTGTTAACATGTTTTTCTAGTTTTGATGTGGGATATCTACTCGAAACATCCACCTATTTAAATCTATTTGATAGAGATCTTGAGACATCATTTTCTTTCTGCGTTTTGGATGTGAGATAAGACATCCGAGGTTTTAGTCGGGCATGCAGAAGTTTTGATGGGAAATCCATGTTTGAGTTGGAAATACCAAGATTCCACAATTTTGGATGGGAGGCCCTCCCATCACCTATGCGATCTATGAATGATGTGACTGTGAGGGACTTCCCCAGCGGTCATCCAGCGGCAATGTGGTAAACGATGGAGTAAACCATGGGGTACACCAATTGAGCCGTAGAAAACCACACCGAATGACCATTTGGGGTGATTATCAATGGACAACGTGCATTTCTTCTTGGCTTTGCCGCTTTGCCACATTGGATCTGCAAGATTTCTGGGTGAGGGCAGAGGGCCGGGAGTGTGACACACCTCAGGAGCGGAGTCAGGTCCGGAGAGTGAGCTGTGAAGCAGGAGATCCCGAGGATTTGTTGTGGGCCTCCTTCGAAGTCATGGTGCCGAGGCTGAACTTCAGCTTGCATCTTTTTCCTGCCGGTGTGCAAGACATCCACCCCACAAGACAATAGAAGATCGACATAGAACAATAGAAAATCATGGAAATGCAACAGGATCACCTTTTCGGGTGAGCCACCTGGTATCACCCCAGCATCCCTCAGTTCTATGTTATCATCGAAAGGTTGACCACTTGATGCTGGTCAAGGTTAATCCCTCTTGCTTGTCTCTTTGAATATAGATTCAACACTCTAAGATGTGGGTCAATGTCAGTTCGAGAGGCCTATACCTATAATTCTGGGGGTTGAAATCCCGTTATGCTATCTTTATTTTACCAACTTCGAAATGTCTAGTTGTCTTGCTTTTCCACCCTTCATCTTGTTTTTCTATCAAGGAATGCTCCCGCCGTTCCCAATATTGGTCTTCGGTTTCCGGAAAAAAAAACAGAAAAAAGTTAAACCACATGGCACTCCAAGTCCATTTATTCCATTTATTCCAGGACATCCCTGGACCCCCCCCGGTGCTCCGGTCGCGGATGGCAGGAGCAGCTGGCGGCCGAAGCCATGGACGCCTGGTGCGCTCGCTTAGAGGTGCCCTCTGAAGCGGCGCGGCGGAGCTTTGGAGATCTCTCCTTCGCTGCGGAAGAGGCAGTGGACCTGTACATTTTGGCCACAGGTGAAATGGGTATGGATCAATACCTATTAATACCATTTTTAGTGGGATGAACATCCATTTACCAGCTATTTTGATGTTCACCAGGGGTACAAGGTTTTGACTGCCAAATAAGGGCACTTAGTATCCACAATTGGCACTTAGTGGTTAAGAAACCTGGTGATTAAGTGATTAAGCCCCGCCTAACTAGGGCTGTTCCATGCAGAAGGTGCTGAAGTGGCTGAAGTGGCTGAAGTGGCTGAAGTGGCTGAAGTAACGCCACTTAGTGTAGTGGAATGATCCTCCAAATGGTGGTTTATAACTGGGGTATAATATGATTATACACTGGGGATCTTCCACTTAGATGAAGTATTAACTAAGTGATACATACTGGATAGATAGGATAGCCCACTTATAGAAAGCCCTTTATCGAACTGGGGATCTCCCGCTGGGGTATTTATTATAATGTTATATATCCACTTACAAATGGAACTGCGCTCCAAAGTTGGAAGTGAAAGTTGTAAATATTTATGACTGCGCTAAGTGACTATGGGTTTACGACACTTATGAGTTGTTTTAGTTTGTAATTGGGGTACCTTCACTATGATCAAAGGAATATCTTTATGAGTTGCTTTTAACACGTGTAATGTGTGGCCAATCCTACTGGGTGTTAAAACAAGGGCATGTTTGAAACTGTTCACCCCGGCTGCTGGGAAAAGACTTGGAAGGTGATCTCAATTCAATCAACTTCGGATTTGAAAACCTTGGCTCATTCATCAAATTCGATTTTAGCACACCAAAAGAAGATAGAGTTTAAAAGCAACTGGGAAACTATGAGGACAACATCATCTATATCCTCCCAGAAATACATGTCTACTGATGTCTACTGTATCATTTTTTTGGCTTACCATTACGAGCGCAACCAGCGAGGCAACGCACCAGGAGCTTGGCAAAGGCAAATCTGTGGCTTGGTGCCGCAGATGGTTGTTTTCTTTATTAATGAGGGAGCTGAAGCAATTGCAGACACACACAATCACACATACACACACACATGTAAATAATTAAGATATTTGATTAATGTTACGTACCCAAGATTGTCAGCCAAACATGAACACCACTGAACACCTTTATTGGCATCAGGTCTTCATTTTCCGCTCTGCGCAGCCCGTCGCAGCTCGCTTGGTGAGGTGCTCAACCTCTACCACTACTTCAACTCGCCCACTTGTGACGAGGAGCCCTGCCGTTCCCATGCGGATCCGGGTCTCCTCACGGTGCTGGGCCGCTCCACAAAGGCTGGGCTGCAGGCCGTGCGGCCGCTGACGCCTGGGAAGGCGCCGGGACGGCCTGCCAGCTACGGGGAGGAGTGGCTGGATCTGGAACTGCTGATGGATGACCTGGGACGAGGTTCAGCCGCTGGGCAGCGGGGTGAAATAAAATCAGGGCTTGACATTGATGATTGTGAAATTGTGAATGAAATTAGTTGATTGATCTGAACTCATTGAGTTTGAAGACGGCAATGGAATATCTACATATATCCCCATGTTCAATGGAGGAGCTGTTGCTGAATGTGTTTTGGGGGGAAGGGGGGTGGGGCGGCTCCAGCGTCTCGGAAGGTTCATGATGTTCATGGAACTAAGAACAAGGTCTAGCAGAGGTATAGAAGATGATTTTCCATGACTTTCCATGATTTTCCTATTGGATCATGTTTGGGTTTTATATGGTTTTATATGGGTTTTATGTCAAATTCACTTGTTTCAAACAGTGCCGACTTCACTGAATTCTGATGAATTCTGCTGATTTGATTTGATGATGGTCTTTTTGGGATCCTTTTTTGGGAGCCATTGGGGCCATCAAAATCGGCAGGACAGGCGCCCCACGTGCCCTTTCTGGTCCTGGTGGGCGAAACCATGGAGCGTCTCAGTGGTGGATGGCATCCCAGTTGTGTGCACCGCGTGAAGCGAAGTGAGGCCTCGTCGTGATTTTTGGGGCATGAAACAGAGGGGTGGGATATGGTGGGATGATGAGAATTGTTTTTGTTGATGGTTTCAAACATGTTTCTTTATGTTCAACCATTGGTAACCATGTCTTGCATGATGATCCCTCAAATGTCTGCTGTTTCATCTATTTTCAGGGGGTTGAAACCACCAAGCAGTGAATGATTAAGTGATATATATATATATATGTATTTGGATGTATGGGCTGGAACCTGCATAACCTGATAACCTTGAGAATGGGTTGTTTGCATTGATTGGCGGCTAAGTAGGTGATAAAGACGCATTGGCCCCTTTGGCAGAAGTTGCAACTTTGGTTTCATTTTTTTTGATACATGTTATGTATTGTATTGTATTGTTACGGAGGAATCATGTGGTAACATGTGCTCAATATATCTCGCTCATCGTTTTTGAAGCCTTGCCTTTTTCCAAGAGCATGTCATGGCCCGGGGTTTTTCTCGGGATCCTTGGCGCCCAGGAGCCCGGAGAAAGGCGCTTCAATATGGCCTTTGAGCTGCGACCCCGGTGCAACGTGTGGCATCCCTGGCGAAAAATGCTGGATGCGGTGGAGACGGCGCCTGAGACGGAGCCATAGCTGTGCCAAGGGGCCCAAGACCCGGGAGATCCCGGGAGCTACGGAGCTGCTGAGCTAAGTTGCTTCATTTGAAAGTCATTTATTGTTCGATAAATGTTCGATATTGTGATTTAGTTTTTGCTTTGTGACATTATGTGACTTGTTGCTTCTATTTAGGCAAGTAATTAATATATTTTCTTCTTGCAGGGTGAAGGTGATATAGGATGATGGTGCGGCAACTCATGGAGGAATCCAGTCATTGTAGCCATGTCTTGGTGCAACGCTCCCTTGAGCTCTTGAAAAGGCCCTCCCGCGGATCAAGTGTACAGTGACCCTGACATGGCGATGAAAAATTCAGCGCCCGAATGCATGTGACTGATCTGAAGCCTATTTAAGTTAGGTGCTGACTCATGAGATTTTGGCTGCTTGGGTTGCAAACGGCTGTTGCTGGGAATATCATGGAATATCTGGGAATGAGAAACGTCACCCAATCATGCCGAATCATTCTCCGTGGCTCAAGCCGCGTCCATTGGGATGGCATTGAAAACAAGGCGCGCTGATCGCAGGACCGCGCCATGAAGGTGCTCCGGCATGTCGGCGGCGCAGCATGTGAAGCATCGACGACCCCCAATCTGCAACGGAGTCAGATAGCAAATCAGAGGGACGCGCCCAAGATTCTGCTGGATTTGCTACCACGGAAACACTTCGGCCAGAGCGGAAAGACTTCAACAGTTGAAACTTGAACAACGAGAATCCATGGCAAAGTACTTGGTCTATGCCCAGAGCCTTGCAAGTTTTGAAGAGCAACCTCGCCAGCAGATCTGGCAGCAGCTTTACCAGCTGGGAGTACCGTGGTGCTGCCATGTTGCTGAGCACCTATCCTCCGCCATGTGTGCAGACATCACGTCCGCAGCCTCTTGGGCGTTGGGTCTGGGAGTCAGGCATAGAGAGGCCGCGGTGACATTCGTGGTGAAGCAGCTGCCGACGTACTACACCCAGGAATTTCACTCAGCCAGAGTATGCCGAGCAATTCCGCGCATCATTTCCACACAAATCCTTGGATGAGCAGACGAGAATGACTGGGGAAGGCTTGGTAGTTGAGCCAGCCCCCACACAAGGCTCTGAGGCCAACTGCTACCATTTCGCTCTGAAATGGTCTGGCAGCCCACCATTGGGTCGACCGCAGTTGTGCCCGTTGCAGCCTTCGGCCACTTTCAATGACCTGCATGGACCCGGTGACCTACGCGACCAACGTGCTGTTTTCAATGTTTTCAAAATGCCAGTGAGCAGTAGTGAGCCACATGCGGCAAGAGCCGTGTTTCAAGAAGCGAATCTTTTTCGGCTTACCCTCTGGTAATTTAACATAGCTATTGAACATGGCCATTTATAGTGGATTTTCCCATTAAAAATTGTGATGTTCCATTGCTATGTTAGTTTACCAGAGGGTAGCAGGGATTCGATTCCAAGTTTTTGTTGAGCCTTTTGTGGCTCCAGACATCTCCAGACAAAAGGAGTGGTTTGGACCAGCCATGTCACGAATCGCTCCTAAGGAGCTCCTGTTTTCAACCTGAAACAAAGATCCGATCGCCGATCACTTGAGTGACTATATAT